GGTATTTGTAAAATATTCAATTGTAAGATTGCATTGGTTTGCCTATTTCCCGAAACAGATTGTAGGCAACATTTTTCGCCGCGATTTCAAATCTTACTTAAACAAAACTGGTATAGTGTGTATTATCCCAAGGAGAAGTAAGTGTTAATCAATTTCAAACAAAGCTATAATAAAATATAAATTTACCTTAATTATAAATAACAAATATTATGCCATAATGGCACATTAAGCTAAATAAACGAACTGAAAATAGTTGAATTACTATTAACACTTTTTAAGGAAACTCACATTTACACTTTTATTAAGAGTGCTAAATGGAAGTCAATCGGATTGGTACTTGGTTTCTTCTGTGAAATCAGCCCATTTTACAACACACCCACCCACCCACACAATCAATGATCCTTTGAAATTTATTTATATCAAATGGCGGGCGTTATGATAGTTATCATTAGCCTTTTAGATGACTTCAGGCCTCGCAGAGGAGAAGAAATATCAAAGTGAAACAAGTTCGAGAGGGGGGGGGGGGGGAAANTTGGGGGGGGGGGGGGGGGGGAACAGAAGAGTGTTTCAAAGGTGTAAAAGAGACAGACAAACAAAAAGGCAGAGAAAAGGTAAGATAAGTACTGTGAAAGTGGTCGAATATGACCTACAGTGGGGTGATAGTAGTTTGAAGCGAGAAGTCAACGAAAGCCGAGTGATAGACTTTTTTGCCGTAAGAAAATACGCTGCCCAGGGTGCACCACGTGGAGGTAAGTCTATCGCACACTCCCTAATTTCAAACGTAGTGTAAGAAAGTTTTCTTCCTATAAACAAAATTCTTGTTTAATAAAATTTGCTATTTTCCTCATTTTATTTAGCACAATAACGACAAGCAGTACTTCCACCGCATTATTTGAGGTTTGTTTGACGATATTTTCTTTGAACCATAAGTAACAGCACGAATATTTATTGATTAATGTCAAATGGCAGGCTTTATGATAGTTATCGTTTAGCTGACTTCGAGCGTCACTGAGATGAGGTACAAACAAAGTCACAGGTTTTGATTAGGAGGAACAGAAGGGTGATTCACACATTTAAAAGAGGCAGACATAATAGCAGAGGAAAGGGTAAGGCGAGTACTGTGAAATTGGTGGAATATGACATATATTCGGGTCATGGTTAATTTAACGTCAATTGCCGGTTTATACACATTTTTGTCCATGTTTCTATTGCGCACCTATAGCACGAATATTTATTTGCTAAAACTCTACACGGATATGGTATTTAAAATGGTTCGATTTTCAAGGAATATATATGCGCTACCACGTCGTTCATTGCTTATTGAGCTCTGATAATTTTGAAATCAAGCTAGCTCTCCCATGCCATAGCAAGGTGTTAAACAGCCTTAAGAAAGAAATGGATTGAAGATAGCTCGCGCCACACAAATAAGGCTTGACTAATCTCACTGACCCCTGCCTCCCAGTAAAATCCTCGGGTATATACTTGTTTCCGAAATTTACTGAGCTTCTCAATACCCGGTACCGAGGAAACAGAAGATATTAAATTCAATCAATATTTCTCTACATTGCATTAGCTCAATTACTCATTGGTTGAGTTATATCTGCACACTCGACCGCGTGTTATAGATTTCCCTATGGTGGTTGAGATTCCTCCGACTAACCTTGCTAACATGGGGTGTGTGATAGACTTACCTCTACGTGGTGCATCCTGGGCAACGTATTCTCCTGCGGCAAAAAGGTCTATTAACTTGCAGTTGACTTCTGACTTCAAACTACCATTACCCCACTGTATGTCATATTTGACCCCTTCTACAGTTCTCATCTTATCTTTTCTCTGCCTTTGTGTCTGTCTCTCGACTTTTTATCACTTTGATGTTCCTCCTTCTCTCCTTGCTACCATTATGTACTCTCCAAATTTTCATGAAACTTGGCATTATTTTTAAAGATTATCACTTTATTTACTCAAAATATTCCATATATTTCTTCTTATTTATTTTTAAATTATTTACATTTTTTCAGACGAAAATCAGATTATTGTATGAGGCTAACACAAATTCGACCAGACTTCTGCTTAAATTTTTAGGATTTATTTATTTCAAATGGCAGGCGTTTATTTGCCCTTTAGTTGACTCCGGGCTACACAGAAAGGAAGAGGAACATCGGAGTGGCAAACAGTCGAGAGGGAGACAGAATAATGATTCGCAGACGTTAAAGACACCGACAGACAAAAGCAGAGAAAAGGTGAGGTGAGTACTGTGGAAGCAATCGAATATGACATACAGTGGGGTCACAGTCATTTGAACTCAGAAGTCAGTATCCGCTTAATAGACTTTTTTGCCGTATGAGTATACGTTGCCCAGGGTGCACCACGTGGAGGTAAGTCTATCCCACACCCCAAATTTTCAGGATTTAAAACTTAATAAATATTTTTCCCTCTCTATCGTGACCACTGAATTTTCATTGACGTCAAAACACCATGTATGGTCCAGAGAATTATATACTGAAAATATAAATAGGGCCTTTTATTAAGATCAACCTGGCCCTGGGTATTTTCTCGATTTTCAGTGTAGTATTAATAAAAAACGTAGAATAATATTTCCTAAACAATAGGTAATTACGAAATAGACTAGAGGTACCAGTCGAAATATCGAAGTTCCTACCAAACTATGAAACGCGGTTGTAAAGTAACTCAAAACAAAGCCATAACTCAAAGCAGAAAGCAATGCTCGTACACACACAGTTGAATGCGAAATTCAATCAGCATTGATTTAAACAAATCAGTGGAGGGAATAGAAGAAAATTACGTTCTTTTCATTGGTAAGAGGGAGAGCGGTAATTATTTCTTCTAAAGCAGTCCAGGCAATAATAATATTAATTAGATTTTGTTTATACTTCACTCTTAGTCACAACATTTTAAAGATAAATGTTGTGCATCCTCATAATAATGAATTCAGAGGTGAGCGTTATGCGTTTGTGGAGGAGATTTTCACAAAAAATTGAAAGGAAAGAAAAGGCCTATCACTTAAAAGCTAGGAAAAATATGACCGCGGTCATTCCCTATGCAAATTGAATTCATCTGGACAAAAAAGAACGTTAGATTTGAGGCACAAAGGAAAACACGCGCCTGTCTTCAGAGTGGACCATTTGGGCCTGGTGGTTATTCAGTGGAACCATTACTCGTGGTGGAGGGGGTGTGGGGAGAGAAGGTTTGTCGTTAAGACTCGAAGTGGTCCCTGCCTCACACTCTATAACTCTTTTCAACTTGGCAGCTATTTAAATCTGTCACACACCTTATCGGATTTAAACGCTGTCATGTGCTTTGAAGTTAGATGTCGGCACTCTAGACATTTTGACATATTGGCATTTAACGATGGCAGGAAAATGTATTTTTGGTGCGAATGTCAATAGACCACTATATATAATTCACCTTAATTATAATCAATTTCACGTTATATTAGTTTAAAATAACCAATTGTGAGGAAACCCATATTGGCAAACTGAGAAATTTTGATTTTCCATCAAAAATTGATGGTAAAATTTCATTTAATCCTTGGCTCCGACCGAATCGACATCATTCAATTTCCAAAATAAGTTATTATTTCCTTGATCCTTGGTAAATTTATTTAATTATTTGCTTGAAATTTCATAATGTCGTAAGTGGAACTGCTTTTTAATTGCTTGTGGCGACGGAGATGGTATGTTCTTTAATTTGAAAATCAGTAAAATTTAGAGTTGTTTAAATGTTCGACCCTATAACCTTGACTTGAGATGGCGAATTAATTTAATTAATTAATTCGATCACTCCTCTCCACACCCCCCCCCCCTTATAAGTATCCATACTTTTGGGGTGGTAGAATGGCCGCATAGCTATACCTTTCCAATTCCAACTTCTTCTCGCTTTTATATGATTAAAATGGCACTAAGAAAAAAGATTTAAAGTTATTCCCCGGACTTTGGCATGTTGACAGATATCCTCCCCTCCCCCGTTACATTTGTTTTGCACAATTCAACCACTCGATCAAAACACAAACATAAGTAAGGTGAATGGTTATGATTTACACGTGGTTTATAACGAATAGCGAATCTTTACTCCCATTGGTCCATTCTGGATACATGAGGTCATGACTCATGAACCCCCTGCCCCTTTTCCTTCATTTCCCCATAAGCAAGACTCAGGTCCTTTGCCAGGACTAAATTCTTTGTCCAGCTTCGTTATTATAAGGTCTCTCTCCACGAAGTCATGGTTCATCCATTTGGCTCTACGAAGTTATTTGCTCACTAAGGCGACTCAGGTCATGGTAGCGATTCAAAATTGCCTTAAACCAGGTGTCTACCAACAGCCTCTCTACTAGCTTCCCATTGATCCACAATGCATCGTGTTTTCCAAGTTAAGCTGAGTGCTACTTCACTGACTGTCGGGGGTTGATAGATTCACCTACTTTAAATTCCTCCACATTAGGTTGCCTGTCGTCTTACAAAGGTAAATATTTTAAGCTCTAATCATAGACAGGTACCCAAGTGACTGTCAACCTTGGATTCTAGAAAAATCCTATACAAAACCTTTATTAAAAGAGAATAAAATACGACACAACCCTTCAACCATACAGCCAGCCATGCAAGCAGTCACTCACGATTCTTGACATCCAGTGAATAAAAGGGTCTCGAATTGAATAATACGATCGACGTCTATTTTTTGCTTTTTTACCAAAACCCCGGATGGTAAAAAGAGAAGACTTAAATCAGTAATGAGGAGGTAAAAGTAGAAAGTCGGAAAACGGTTTGGGAATAAGGACAAACACAAAGATGTTAATAGTACAGGCTTAGACAATCAACATTTCATTGATAAGGGACACGAGGAAACCAATAATATTGAGGCATTATTTATATATAAGGAAGAGAGGGAGATGGAAAGAGAAAGAGTCGGTTAGGTATTTCACAGTTTTGGATTTGGTTCAATTTACAAATCCATATGCTAGAGATCGTGAACCAATAAAACATCGTCTAGAGATCATGGTTTCCATTAGTAGTTTTGGGAGGATTCATTGTACCCACATTCTCTCCTCGGTTAGCTTTCTCCGAGGATGATTGGCTGTGAATTAATTTCGAACTCTTGGAAACATCTGGATTTTGATGTTTGAAAGAGCTTGATGATTTGCGTCCAGAATCACCGGCACTGGTATCAAGGGGCAAGGAAACTGAAGAACCAGTGAATACCGTGATTGTTCCTTCATTACTCCTCATGGAAAGGGGGGCTTGAAGCGGGTTTGATTGATCACCATCGGCTATGTGGTGTTCGCTATTAGTTGTCGGAGTGATAAAGGACGTTGACGGAAGGTGTTCGGGCGTGGTATTAGCGGGTGTACTACCAGATGCTGAACTGGATGACTGGGTGGAATTCCAAGAGTGGCGAGTGTGGGGTGTTTGAGCTGTCTGGACTTTCTGAGAGGAGGGATGCTCATCGATGGTCTTAAGAGCTGGTGGATGGCGTGCTGATGATTCGTTTCGACCAGAATCGATTGAATGTGGCTGTTGTTCGGAGGGGGTCAGATTTTGACGCATGTCAACCTACACGGCACAGATTAGAGGGGTAAGGGAATTGAAATCGAATCGGACTACCCTAAAAAGTCCATTGTTATGAAATTTAAATCACTTGAGTTTTAAAAACAAAAAAGTCAGCATTAACCCCCCCCCCCATTTATAAAAACGAATTCCGTCTGTATTTCTACTTCCAACTTTGAGAACATCGAAAAGTTGGCACCAAAGTCATCGTACCAGGATACAGGCTAGATGGTAGTCAATGGCATTCTGATTAAAAAGAAGCGCTTATGAATAATTCTTCACACATTTCTTTTTATAATTCGTACCTGCAGTGTTAGGCTAATTAAATGTATGCACATTGAAGTTAATTGAAAACGTGGCGTTCAATTAGAATTCTATTATTTCAAAAGCTTACAAATATTTTACAGGTATAATTTTATTTTTTTTCACTGCATGTTCTCAAACTGACGTCCATTTTGATCCAGACACTGCTAACAGAGCCAAGCTATGGAAACGCACACAGCATAAAATAATTCCCTCGGGATTTGGACGCATTCATGCTGAACGACTTCTCTTAATTCAGTGACTGTTACAGGTTTCGTAGCGCAGACTTTGTCTTTTAAGTAACCCCATAGGAAAAATCTAGCAGTGTGAGGTCTGGTGAACGGAGAGGATATTCAACTAAAACTCTTCGTCCAATCCACCTGTTTGACAAGACCTCATCAAGGAAAGACCTAACATCGCGATGGTAATGTGGGGATGCCCTATTTTGCTGTAAATAAAACGCTTCATCCTCAAAATCTTCTCTAATGCTTGGCATAACAGACTGCTGCAGAAAGTTCAAGTAACTGGGACCGGTTGCAGTAGTGTCAAAAAAAGAACGGTCCAATTAATCCTCTTGATGATATATCACAAAACACTGTAATTCCAGGTAGATTAACATGATCGACAGTAACGTGTGGATTCTCAGGTTCCCAAGAGGTACAATTATGACGGTCAATGTAATCGTCACTCTGCACAATCTTTCTCGAAAAATTTACTTTTTCTACGCATTGTTCTAAATAGAACTAACAGAACTGTACTCTTCGATCTTTATCATCGTCATTAAACAAAAACAATAAAATGATACTTTTAAATATTCTTATACATTTGAAATTATGAAATAATAATAATATACACCGTTTAAAAGTAGGGGTGTACGATAGACTTACCTCCACGTGGTGCACCCTGGGCAACGTATACTCATACGGCAAAAAGTCTATTAACCGGCAGGTGACTTCTGACTTCAAACTACCATCACCCCACTGTATGTCATATTCGACCTCTTCTACAATACTCATCTTACCTTTTCTCCGCCTTGGATTCGCCCCCTTTCACAGTACTCATCTTACCTTTTTTATAACTTTGTGTCATATCTGTCTGTCTCTTTTACGTCTGTGAATCATTATTCTGTCATCTGTCTGCCTCTTTTACATCCGTGAATCGCTCTTCTGTTTCCTGTCTGTCTCTTTTACATCTGTGAATCACTCTTCTATTCCCCCACCCGAATTCTTCTCACTTTGATGTTCTACCTTCCCTCTGTGAAGCTTCTAATGATAGCTACCAAAACGCCTGCCATTTGAAATAAATGTTTACAAGTATCTTAAGTGTGTATACATTTTTTGGAACACTCTCTATCTATACATTTCATGTATAACAGCGCATAGATACCATTTTGGCTTACTGGCATGCAACTAATGAATTTAAGTGGATTTAACACGAAAAGCTACTAACCTGGAAAAATTTCTCAAGGCGAATGGTGTACTCATGGAAGAGCTCAATGTTGTTGTGGTCGCCACCTTCAACCCAAAGTGGATCAAGGGGATTAGGGAGACGGGAAAATAGCTCCTTGCCGTGATGAATTCCAATAACGTGATCATCTGTTCCATGGATGACAAGAGTAGGCGACTGGATGTTCTCCACTTTGTCAATACTGCAATGAGTGCAAAAAAACATTGTGACCTTTAAATAGATGCCACAATGAATTGTTTACCAGCATCAAGAGAATTAAAAACCATACTTTCTAAGTCTGAGTCCACAGATTCTAAACTAACTGATGCAAACTTAGAGAACGTTATTAATAAAACCACTATTCCCGATAGGGGGTGTGCGATAGACTTACCTCCACGTGATGCACCCTG